TATTAATTATTAGCTCGCGGACTATGGGAATCTAGATATAATTGCTGTCAGTCGGACCTTGGTGTAGCTGGGTGTTGCGTAGCTGATTGTCATGTCACTGATACTGCTCCAAAGTCAGTGTTGGAAACCTATCGAGAGGTAAATTTCAGATTCTTATAGCTACTACCCTGCTGTGCAGTTCCACTTTTTTTTCAGGTTTAATTGCTTCTTTATTGAATTACCCACCCCTTGTAAATACTTTAAGTGAGAGTTATCTATGAAAACTTTCCTGTACCGTGATTTTCTTATTACCTCTCACCTCTATGGAAGATTCAAATCATGTTATTCTTTGTCATGCAAGTGATGATTTGCGTAATTTCTGTAGACACCACCACCGTCGGGACCAAAAGATGAAAGAAGCAGGAAAGTGTATGCATTTGATTGTGAAATGGTGTATACAACTTGGGGTACCAGTTTAGCCCGAATATCAGTAGTCGATGTAAACGATAAGCTGGTGATGGATGTTATTGTACGTCAACAATATGAAGTGCGTGATTGCAATACACGATTTAGCGGTTTGACGATTGATCAAATTGAAGGAGCGGAATTTAATTTGGAACAGGTAGGTCCTTTTTCGTATTTATCTCGGCACAATTAGTAAATCACTACAAAGAATAACACGAATAAAAACAACGAAGTGTAGCGATATAGTAATATAATGGAGTTGAATTAAACAGCAAGGTTAGTCATATTTATAATTATATGGACAGTGGCATGATGCTATAATCTTCAAAAAGTGAATAAACAGTAGGATTGGAGGAGTTCAGAAGCTATAAACTAGTATCTCCCACACATTTTACTGCTCATCTCCCACACTTATATATTTCGTTGAAGTAGAATTAGAATGATCTGTATTGAGATGTAAAAGTTTTCGTTGTTTATTCTCACGTTATATTCGTTTATGGAAAAACCGATGCATAGAGAAAGAGTAACTTCCAGACTCAGAAGCGATTCTTCGAACTGGTGAATTCAGAGACAATTCTGATTGGACACAGTCTTGAAAGTGACCTAAAAGCAATGCGTCTGGTTCATCATCGAGTAGTGGACACATCGGTTGTGTTTCCACATAGGTTAGGACCACCCTACAAACGTGCTTTGAAAACGATTGCTTCGGAAATACTGCAACTTATCATTCAGGAAGATAGTAAGTTATCTTGTTCTAAATTTTATTTGATAGACTATGAAAGACCATGTCATCTCCTTGATATCGTCAGTTTGCAGTTCTGTAACATTTTAAAAATGAATTCCAAAATTTAATTGATACTCATGGGAACAAGTGCCACCTTCTATTCCCCTATTCCTTTGAGATCTGTTTGTCCATTTTTATCACTTAAAATTTACATATTTATCAAGTCAGCGAAATTCTAGAAGAATTCTTTGCGATTTCAGTTGATGGACATGATTCAAAAGAGGATGCAAGCACTTGTATGCGATTAATGTTGTACAAAGTTATGCATAATTAGCAATTTTTATTGTGCGTGTTTTCCGCTCCAACATAAATATTAGCCTTTTTTGAAACGGGTTTGTTTTTAAAAGCTTAAATCTTGCATTTTGTCCATTAACTTACGACTCATTTAAATAAATGATGCATTTCAGTTTTGATATATATATATATATATATATATATATATATATAGTAG